CGATACATAGCAGCCAACGTATGTTAATCGAACGGGTTATTTCACGACGCACTCGTTCATTCACTCTCGTACTCAGCCGGTGATTCGCCGGCTTTCCGACAACGCGCGATATTCCGCGATATTCCACGATATTTCGCGGCACGAGAACGCGTTACGAGCGAAATTCATCGCGTCTGCCGCGCGCGCGAATATCGCGCGAGCACATTCGCGCGATATGTTTCACAAAAGACGCGCTTAATTATCAAGTCGGAATTACAAAGTATTTCCGAATTTCCTATCCTATATTTATTTTAACGTCGAATGCCTGACCATTCTGTCATGGAGGGAATCGGCTCTTTTCCGTAATTAAGCTATCGATGCGTCGTTAACGCCTGTCCAATTATAAGCGACCGTGAGAACGAATATTTCTTCACAAAGTTTCTCCGAGAAAGAGAGACAGAAAGTTTCTGCTTACAATTAGAATGATAAAAGCGCGATGTCTCGCTACAGGAAGAAGCGTTTGCCTAATAAAGAATAATCGTCTGAATAAATTACCGGCCCGCGAGGAATAATTATAGCCGTGGTATATAATGTAGGAATTTAGATCTCTAACGTTTTAATTCGTCAGGTGAAACGTTATAACGTGAAATAGGCTATCACGGCAATACATATCTTATCGTTTCAATAATAATAAAGGGGACCCTTTCCTCGCTATATTCTCGCGCTCGCGCTCGTAAATAAAATTCTTCACCTGTTCATCAAGACGTTTGAATATTTCAATTGAACATTGAATATCGAATGAAATATTTGAATATCAAAGAACAAGAAGATCAATTTTTCGTGAGTATTAGATTATTATCGTGAAATCCATCATTGGCGTTCCAATTAATATTTCGAGATAGACCGTATGTGTGTGTGTGTGTGTGTGTGTGTGTGTGTGTATGTGTGTGTATGCGCGTACACATTCGGTTAATATGCCGTACGTGCCGCGTTTTTAATTAGCCGCGGGACAGACGCCGTCAGTCGCGGCCGAATTAAAATAACGTGTCGCGTCGTACGGAAAAATCGTGACGTCTACCAATCTACGATCGGCCCAACTATTATCGAGGAGCCTCCAGCGTGGGCCACGGGAGAGCCGGTCTCGATACGTCCAACAAGATGACGCCGGATAAACCCGCGTCTGGCCCCACCATCGATACATTAATTAAAACATCGATGCTCTCAGCCGTGACTTGCAGCAAACTCACGCCGCAGAATCGATCGCACGAACGCGTAACGCCGCGCTTTTATTTCGTCTCTCTTCAGGAACCATTCGTTTCTCATCCTCCCACAAGAACGGGACCGCTCTTCCTTCTCGTTTCGCCTCATTCTCCCGAATACGAATCAGTCGTTATTAAGAGTAACCGAGTCGCTCCGATACATATCGGAGGAATATTTCGGAATTGAATTCTCTTTCTCTTCTCGAGGAGAACGACTTGCGTCGGACGACCGATTACCTGTCACACGCGCCTGGTGTGTCATCGAAAAATCGCAAACCTTTGTGAAGTGAAAACCAAAGATGGTGCTTGCGTTCGAAGTTTGCTTCACATGGAACGAATACATCAGCAGAGGCTTGCACAAATGTCTCTTCCAGTTTATCATTCATTCAGTCCGAGACTGCATAAACTTTTTATCCGAAGCGTTTCCTACCTCTCGTTGTAAATTTGCAAAGTTGGAAAGAAGAGACGCCGTGTGTGTGTATAGACTTTGCCACCAGTTGCTTCGAAATTACGTCAGACCGAGAGAGAGAGAGAGAGAGAGAGAGAGAGAGAGAGAGAGAGAGAGAGAGCGGCTACGAGAGTAGCGTGGGACAGGGTGGACACGGTGGACCGGGGGCGGCGGACGGGATTTCCGAGAGGGGCGCAGGATATATATACGCGTTCTACCCCCGAAGAAGGGCGCGTCTCCAAGGGAGGAGTCGGAAGCACTGAGGATACCGCCGAGGAGGCGGTGGAGGAGAAGGGACGAGGGTGAGGAGAGGAATCGGAACGCGCGGCGTGGGAACCAGGAGGGAGAGAGAATGCTCGCCACCCCTCTCAGGAGTCGAACCCTCGGTCGGGAGGGGAGCGACGGGGGGAGGCGAGTTTTGCAACCCGGCGAGAGGTCGCCGGCAACGAAAATCGTCGTTGCCGCTTAGTCGTTTCTCGTTCATTGACACGCGTGGGATTGTTTTTCAATCTCTCGACCGAGGCGAGACGCGTCCGCGAGTTCCACGAGTGTGTGATATGGAAACGCGAATAACTCCTCCGTCCCGTAGCCGACGTTAAATATAACACGACCCAAGTACGACGCAACATTTCATCCTCTCGATATCTCCGTCGATATGTGACGTCACCTCGAGTATCGCGCAATCTTGATCGTGAGGGGGTAGCACAGAGAGAGGGTAAATGATCGCCGCTTTCAGCCGTTCGAAAACTTGTCGAGTGTCCTTACGTTCGTAATTTACGTTTCTCTTACGTCATGAAATGCACGCTGTGTCTCGAGAAAATTGTCAGATTGCTACCTACATGAAGATCTCTTACGATGGTGGAGGTGATACATCCTATGTACAAGAATGAAGAGAGAAACTTCAAAGTGGTGAGTACACAGTAGAATTTGAAAAGAAAAGAAAAGAAAAGAAACGATCGTAAACGATCATTCGTCGTACGTAGCAATCCGATAAGATTTGTACAATCTCGCTGATGTCAAGGAAACCGTCATTGCGCAATCGCGGACAGGCAGTCCTAAAAACGAAACGTTGCAACGTGAAGGAACTGAATGTGTCGAACAAATTGAAACGTTAAGGTCTCAATCCTTCGATTATCGTCCGTTTACATTTGTGTAAAGATTGCATTTATCGATTTTACTGTCGAGTTATACACACCACAATTGATACTCTTTATTTATAGAAAGGAACGTTCTCGCGCGCTGAGACATCACGTTTTATCGGAAACAACAACCTTAACTGTACGTCAAAGTATCGCGCTTTATCAGCGAGAATAACATTAAGTAATCCTTTAATTGATAAAACAAGATGTCGCAATCTCTTTTATACGTATATATATATATATATATATATATAATTTACCTCGGCCAAAGTATCGCGACTCTATCAAAGGGGCGTGAGATTCATGGTACCTGGCGCGCATGTTAACGCGATGCACCCCGACGAGAGCGCAGATGTTTCGTGCAGAGAGAACGCGGAGCCGAGCGAAATCTCGCCGAGCAAATCATCGCGAAACGCGTACAGGAGCGCGTACGAGAAATCGGAGTATCTCGCGCGTAATCGAAGGAGACGGAGAGGCACGTACGCGCGCGCGCGCGCGCGCGCGGATGAGAGGCCGGCGGAGAGAATCGAGTAGAAAAAGGGGGAGCGCGCGAGACGGCCGTTCGCGAAGCGGAGGAGAGGGTGCCCCGCGAGAGGGGCCCGCAGGAACGAGGGGAGGCCGAGGGTGCCCCCACTGCCGCTGACCCTCTCTCACCCCACCACGCGACTCGTGTCGCGTGTCCCATCTCCCACTTTTCTCCTACCGACACGTACACCGACACCGCCGCCGTTGCCGCTGCCGCTGCCGCTGCCGCGAATCGGCTGTACCCACACGTGCGATCGCGAGCGCACGCAATGCGAGCGCACACACAGTCGCACGCACGCTCATGCACGCATCTGCAAGTGGTTGCTGCAGTTGGTGGCGCGGCGGCACGGCCGCGCGCGCGCGCGCGCGAGCGTTCGACCGAAGGAAGACACGGCGTATCGTCGTGAGAAAGAGAGAAAGAGGGGGTGGCGGGCGCGGTTGGCGGGCTGGGGGTGTGGAAGGGGGGTGCGAGTAGCGAGCGAGCGACGGGGAGGGGAGGGCATCGTGCGTGTCGGAGATGCACGCACGCGGCGATGTGTTGGCGGCCACGCGTGTGGTGGAAAGAGGGACCCCTCGGAAGAGAGGACGAGAGACGAGACGAAGGAGAGAGAGGTGACTTCTCCTCAGGGCCTTAGTCGCCGACTGTCCGCTACTACGCGCGGTGTTACACCTTCGTCGTCATCGTCACCGACCCTCTCCTTCTCTCCTTCGTCCTTCCCGCGCCGCCACCCCTCTCTCTCTCTCTCTCTCTCTCTCTCTCTCTCTCTCTCTCTCTCTCTCTCTCTCTCTCTCTCTCTCTCTCTCTCTCTCTCTCTCTCTCTCTCTCTTTCTCTCTCTGTCTTTCTCTCTCTCTCTCTTTCTCTCTCTCTCTCTCTCTCTCTCTCTCTCTCTCTCTCACCTGTTGCGGCGCAACTCTTTGATCGTCCGTTTTCGTGCGCCCCGCGCGAGACTCGCGTCGACCAGTCCGGAGAGTCCAGAATCCTCGGGTGCAGGATTACCGCGTGTCCCAGGAACAGCCTATCAGGACAGACTACCAGAGAGCACCAGTGAGATTTGCGAGAGGAATTCTAAAGCGAGGGAGAGAAAAGGAGAGAGAAAGAGAGACAGAGAGAGAGAGAGAGAGAGAGAGAGAGAGAGACTGACTACTGTATTTTCGATTGTCGACACAGTAGGTCAGAGTAGGTCGAGAATAGAGCGGGAGACTAAGGAAATCTCGACGAGATGAGTTTTTATCGTGCTGAAAGCTATCGTCTATGAGAGAGAATCGCCTCGATTCGAGCGAAAAGATACCTCGAATATCGAAAAGTTAATTTCGCAGCTGCTGCGTCTCGCTCGTCGTTGTCATGGAACATCGGTCATGCCAAAGTTAATAATTGTCACTTGGACTAGAGACTTTCGTGGAATTGGTCTGTTTACGGATTACACTTGCCTCCATGGCCTCGATAAACCCATGACACGACGACCGTGAGAGTGGAAAGTATCGAACGGAGTATATAAACAAGATTGTTAGCGCGACGGCGTCAATATACAAGGAAATTCCCGATATATTTTCAAATGTATGTTTCCTCACGATATGAGCGTCCGTGTTATTGAGAGACCTCTGCACGTGCCACGAATGTGATCGGTGACGCAAATTAACGGACAACTGAGGAGCGCCGAGGATCATCGGAAGCACGAACGACGAGGGGAGCTCTGCTGCCGGATCGATTCCCGTCGTCGAGTCCCTTCGCGAATGTCAAAGTCGCGGCTCTCATTCGAAAAGTGCAGATTCGAAAAGTGCGACGCGCCAACGGATAACGCGAGTCCGCAGTGATGTGGAGTGTGAGCTACGAAATGTACCCCGATGGAACGAGGTGCCCCTGATCGTCGCCACCATTGAACGACTGCCGACGAGCGGATCTGCCACGCTGCCATCTGCACGAGAGGTGAGAGCTCGTCGCGACATGCATGGTACTTTTTTATGGAAATTTTGTCAAATTTACGACACGTCACACATTACGAACGTTCTAACCCATCTATTATAAACCCTAAATGTGGAAAGGGTGGAAAAGCTTGACAAAAAAGAATACGTTATACTCTAATTCCAAATCTTACATTTTTGTATCTTGATATCGAATGCTATTTTCGACATTAAACATTGCTGTGTCAAGAATCAGAAGGAAGGAAGGAAGAAAAATGAAGAAACGCACACGAGCATTTGCACAGATTTAGCACAAATAGGAAATATCTCGAGCGCAGAACCGCGAAAAATCAAGCTTCGCGAATTTGTCAGGATCCAACTTACGTACTGTGTGTTTTCGCTCAACAACAAGTTCCACACGAAAATGACACGGACTATACTCCGCGCTGTACTCCGAAATATACTCGCTTCCTCAACACTCGCGCCGGCAGAGGAGGAACAAGTTCAGGGATAATTATTGATTGAGAGAAAAATAGGCGGGCGGGTCATCCGTTCGTTTAACGAAGCCGGCGGCCTCGCGATTGCGACTCCGCGTCGCGTTTACATTCAGCTGCGTTGCTGTTGCTTCGTATATTATTAAAATCGCGCAGCACACACCGATATCACTGATTTCGCGGCGCTAACACGTGAACTCGCGCTCATTTTCTACGTGTCCGCTTGAAACCACTCATTGTTCGTTTGTTTGACGCGCTTGCGAGGCGTCTGTTCCGTATACTTCGTCAAGTATTAGTAGCGAAGAATAATGAATTTTACCGTTAACCCTATGAGCCACTAATCGGACGACTCGTGTCATCGGAGATTATCAGCCGGAGATATCGCGAAAAGTTAGTCTGCTAATTGCTCCAAGACAAGGGGGTGAGGAGACACATCGCCAACGCGCGCGCGCGCGCGCGCACGCACGCACACCATTTAGGGGGGAAACGGTTGTTCGCCTTATCGCGGGGATCGTTAGTACCGCGCGGCGTCCGTATCTCGTCCCGAAAGGTATATTTATTTTCCCCTAATCTTTCCCTCGTCGTCGCGCGTACGTTGACAATTAAATCGCTCTTTGTCTCGTTTTCGCGAAACAGGGGGAGAAAGAGGGAGCGCACACGCGCACAAGCCGCGCGCAAGTTGTTGCCTCCGACACAACCGGACTGCTCCTCGACGTAAAACTGTCGGCGGGACGATAAGAGCGCGTGTTAACTTTGCTGCGTTTCTCCGCGAAACGCGCGTTCGGCAGGGGATAGACTTTCGAATGATATCATTTACCGGGAATGTGCAGCGAGAAAGCACGCGCGTGAGCGTTTAACGAGCGGCGATAAAAATATCTAATAAGCTACCGCCACAATAATTAATTCCAGCAATAGCGTTAATCGTTGCCATCGAGCGGGCAATTAATGTTAAACGTATCGCCGCGTACACGCGCTTCGTCGTAAACGCTTGCGTACTGGCTCCGCCGCTCTTTCCACTTGATATTCTAGAACAGCGCTACCGCGCTGTTCTCTGGGCGGAAGAGAGACGAAGTGGCGAAAACACAGTGACAAAAATATCGTTCCTGCATCCTCCTCACATCTTGGACCGTCTGACGAATGAAATTAAGTTATTTTCCGAGGTCGTGTCGTTTCTCATCTTAAGAGATCGAATTGTGAACCTCCACGAGGATCGGCACATGGAGTAGATTTCACCCCGAGCCTTCTTCCTTCAGGTGTCGGATAATCCTCTGAAACTTTTACGCTGTTAATAATTAATCATTCTCTCTCTCTTTATTATTCCTTCCCTTTCCGCAAAATGTTACGGTCTCGTTGAAATCGATATCTCATACCGAAGCTAAATTCAGTACTCGGTATTTTTCATCAAAGCGATCTACGTTACTTTGTAGGTCGATACTAAAGTAAAGCAATATCCGCTCATTTCAAAATGTGCACGACATTGATCGCAAAGATATATCTCGAGTTTTACGCGCAAAGACGCGTAAAAGCGTTGTCGGGACTTGTCCGGCCATCGGCCATCGATTTTGCTCATCATCGCGATCATCGAAAGCATTCGACACACACATCCACGGTACAAGCAGACACCAAGCTCAGCTTGGCCGCAGCTTGGTAAACGCGAAAGTCCGCGGAAAGTCTCTCGACGTATTCCGTCGCGCTTCTTCGCCGCGCGTCGACTTTCCGTCGTAAATTATCGCCGACACAGGCAACCGCATAAATCGCGCGCGAGCGCGAATGCGGAATAGACGGGAAAAAGTGCGTGAGGTGAGGTATCAGCACAGTACCACTACCACGTACAATGCGAGCGCGCGTTGTCGCATAATAGCGACGAGTATCTGTGTGTGTGTGTGTGTGTGTGTGTGTGTGTGTGTGTGTGTGTGTGGCTCGGCGATTCGGTGCTTACATAATTCGCGTATGTTGCAGCAGGTAGTAACACAGCTAGCCGTCATGCAATCCCCTCATTCTTTCGCGCTGAAAATTGATTGCATCTGATACGGGCGCGACAGCGCCCGTAAAAACAGGCCGGTGCAAATAGCTCCGCGAAAACAGACCGCTCCCTCGCGAGAATCAACCTCTTAACCTCCTCGCCGCAGAAATGTTCCGGCTCGGATGTTTATCTACGTCTACATGTTGTCTTAATTCTTTCGTACAGAACGGTAAAGGCGACGGAAAGAAAGTCCGAATTAGAATTATTATTCCGGTGTATGCGCGACACGAGTATTCCGCTTTGCAAACTTCACGAGATTTATTCGTAGCTCCTTCAATTCTTTCCACCATCCACCGAGATCCAGCGAGATCAAACTCGCAGTTCGGGGATATTTGTTACTAATTTTAAGTGGTAAACGAGCAGTATTCCTTTTCAGAAGAGACAAGATTGCTCGAGTCTGTGTGTCGCACGTACCGCTTTTATTTAGTTTACGAGACTTTTAACGCGTACAATATTTAGTCTGGATTACTTTCTTATCTTACCGATCGAGCCTGAGCCGTCGGCCCGATCGTCGGCGGCCGTGCGTTTCACACTTTTACGCGCTTAACGACTACCGGCGATTCGCTGTTATCTCCGTAATCAACGAGTGTGACGAGAGACTGCGAGTGCGCGAGGCAGCGTCACCCTTCGGCTTAATCTCGCGAGACGGCCGGTAGGTCGTCTCACGCCGCGCGAGAACGCAGTGCGAGAACGCAGCGCGAATCGGGGGGCGCGGAAACTTCGTTACCGCGCCCCCCGAGTCTCGCGCACGTCCGAGCGGGACGAGCGAGTGTAATCGGTTAATCCCGCAGGCGCGGCGGGGTGTCTCGCCGACACGGGGCAGTCGGAGTGACATTAAAATACAACGAGACACAGAGTCACCGCGTATCCACCCATCGCGCCCCGGCGCCGAGAAATTCTGGGCCCGCGACGTCACGCGGTAACATTTGTAACCCCGGTCGCCGTGTTTCGCCCAGTGGCATAAGTCGAGTAGCCGCCGACGGTATCGATCGCTCGTTGCTCTATCGGATGCCATGTGTCGGCGAAACTATCGCCAGACATCCTATTCGATTAGTCGATTACGACGTCATTGGGAGAAAGAAGGGAAAAAAAGATTGCGTCGTGTGTCTACAGAGTTATTAATATTTTTTTTTTTAATATCTTTATCGCAAATGCTGTATCCGCGTATATGCGTACACTCATACTTCTGCTGAGATACACTAGCTAGCGAATCTACGGTAGAAGAGAAAAGCGGAAAATGCGCGTAACTCGCGCGGAATAGATAATTTAGATTGCGAAGCAACGCAAACTCGGCGTTTCTCATCGCCTGCTCGTAATGTAAGACAGAGGGGACGAATAGATGCATACGTGTACCATATATGTGAAATTGCAAAAGATGTGTACAGCTTTGCAGTATCCGATGGGCATAGCTTCATATTTGAAGTTTTCAATATCTTCCCCTTGGGGGAGCGAATGTCAAAGGACATTATCTCATCATTATATATATAAATTCACGAGAAAAATTCCAACTGAAAAGAGATGCGACGACTATCGCGAGAGAGAGAGAGAGAGAGAGAGAGAGGAAGTCGAGAGTTCGACGTCGATCCAATATGCGAATAAGGAAGGAAGGAAAACGGTCCTCCTGGCTCCTCCGACCTCCGAGTGGCGGCTCCTCGTCCAGCTTGTCATCGTTGCTACGCATCGTGACGATCGGAAGTTGAGTACGGCGATCGAAATAGATTTCTTTTTTAGCTTACAACGTTTATGACGGACGAATCATTCGTGTTCGATATAAGAAGGATAAGGAGGATGGAGACGTGAGAAGCGTGCAATTAATAACGTATTCTTCGACGCGACACATTCCCGACGGGATTTCGCCATCGATCCATTTGTCATTCGCGTCGTCGTTAACGGTACACAAACAAAACTGTAAACGCGACGTACAATGAAGTGAAAGTAGCTCCGAGTGGACTTGTTTCACTGGATCTATTATTCCTGATTTATCGGCGATGTTATGACGACGGAGCTCGATACGGACTTTGTTTGCGATACGTCAAAGTCATCGAGAAATTCCAGCGTTACCGTTACCACGCGCGTTAGAGACGATGCGCGCGCGCGCGCGCGTGACGCTTGACGATCGGCCCCCTGCCACAATAATGTATTCATCGGGCGCTGATCGGGAAGAGCGATCGGGAACTCGTTAACGCGATTGTTTGTCAAATTTTACTTTATCATTATTGCTACTTACAAGGCTGTCCCTCTCAAACTGACTTTGGCGCGACTCTGTTTCCGCGCGTCTCGTGTCGTCCGCTTGAGTATCCAAGTAGCCGAAACTCGGCTTAGATTAATATATATTTCCATCGTCAGAATTTGTTTGTCCGCTGGTCAACTAGTCAGTAATTTGTGGAAAAACTTGACGAGAGCAACCGAGCCCCCGGCAGAATAGGATCTCTCTCATGCGTCACGATAGCACAGGCGCGCCACAGACGCGCGCCGTTCCTTCATAAATCCCCGTGCGATTCCAGTTAT